ACCCTTTTTTTTGCCATGGAATAAAAAATAAAAAAGCTAATTGCTACTTTTTATCTCACAATTCTGACTTTTTTCTCAGAATTGCAAGATGTAAACTCAGAATTATGACTTTCTTTCTTACAATTCCAAGTTGACATCTTAGAATTTTGAGTTTATATCTTGAAATTCTGTCATTTTCTCAGTATTCTAAGTTTATATCTCGCAATTTTATGTTTATGTCTTGCAATTCTGAATTTATATCTCCGAATTGTCCAAAATTGTCAGAAAAGTCCAAATTGTGAGATATAAACTCAGAAATCTGACAAAAAAAAGTCAAAATTGTCAGTTTGAATTGCAAGGGGGAAAAGTGTGTGGTTAAAAACATTGGCAATTTTGTTGTTTCATTTTTAAATTCTGTGGTGGAAACATGCTTCCATAAATTTCCCCATGTACAGACTGTAGGAAATGCAAACGTTTATATATAAATGGGGAAATGCACAGCATATAGAAATCTGTTTGCTAAAATGAAACTCATCCTGCTGCTTTGAATGCCAGATTCTTCCTTTGTGTAGATTCATTAATTTGTGTATTGAAGGGTTTTTTGAGTGTTGAATAAAGAATGGCTGAATGTATTCTGCTTCATCCACAAAGACCTCCTGCCGGAGACGGCAGATGGAGACGAACCTCACGCAGAGTTTTCAGAACACTGATCCCAGACCTGTAGATGCAACTTCAGCCTTTCCAAACCCATTTACACATTCTGATCTGAGATCAGCTTAGGTCTGGCTTTACAGGCTGTTTTTAGGGCGAGAGAATAACCTCTATCTGCAGCAGAGACAGATGACTGAAGCTTTGTGCTCATGCTGAATAGAGCGAGTGTGTTACTGTGTTTCTGTCTAATTTCATCACTCTGAAATGCTTTCACACAACTAAAGTCCCTCGAAAACACATTCATACAGATGGTCAAATGCTGTGTAAAAATATTTTTCTAAAGCTGTTTTGGAACAATATTACTTGAGAAAAGTGCTATACAAATGCGTTTCATTGAATTTATACTGTGAAAAATGCCTTTTTCACACCAAAAGTGAAACAAAAGAGCAAAAATAATTGATGATGAATGATCTATCAACAACATTCGAGCTCGTTTCCACCACAGAATAAAAAATTTAAAAAGGTAATTGTGACTTTTTATATCTTACAATTGCAAGTTATAAACTCATAATTTCAAGTTTATATCTCACAATTTTTTCTTACAATTCTGAGTTTTACATCTCGCAATTTTATCTTTTTTCTAGCAATTCTGAGTTTATATCTTGCAATTCTTACTTTTTTTTTCTCATGATTGCAGAAAAATTTAGAATTGTGAGAAAAAAGTCAAAATTAACCTTTATTGTTATTTATTTATTTATTTCCTGTGGTGGAAACAAGTGAACTGAATGTTCAGGAGAGAGAAAAAAAACTAATTTACTATAGCAATCTTAATCGTTATTCAATTGTATTTTTTGCAATCAAAATCTTCCAAAAATGTGGCTAATATACACACTAGAGCTAACACTGCAAATCTGTTGATTTACACTCTCCAAATACCTTTAAAACGTGATTTCCCACTTGTATACTACCTTGAAGTCATGTCTTTTTGTTTAGAATACTTGTATTTATTGTACTATATCTACTCTAGATGATCTGATCTGTTGTAGTGACTATCTGCTGTTTCTGGATCATGAGGCAGGAGGCGTTTTGATCTGTTTCTGTCATCCTGTGTTGCGGGGTTGAACAGTAGCTGTCGGTCTGTGGATGTAGGGCAGGTGGAATCGGAGGACGGGTGGTGATCTGATTTGGGACGAGGCCAGGCAACAGGATTTGTCGACTGTAGTTAGACTGTGATTATCTAAGCCTGAACGCACCACTGTTGTGAGCACGATCTGTCATGCAGCTCGCCTCTTTCTGATTTTCTCTCCTTGTACCAGTTGATATTTTTTGCTATGCGATGTTTTTAATTGCTCAGAGGTTACTGTTTACATGCTTTCAAAAGTTTGAGGTTGGTACGATATTTTCAAGTTTTTTTAAGTCTCTTCTGCTCACCATGGCTGCATTTATTTGATCAAAAATGCACTAAAAACAGTGAAATATTTTTACAATTTAGAATAACTGTTTTCTACTGTAATATGTTTTAAAATATAATTTATTCCTGTGATCAAATCTGAATTTTCAGCATCATTACTCCAGTCTTCAGTGTCACATGATCCTTCAGAAATCATTCTAATATGCTGATTTGCTGCTCAATAAACATTTCTGATTATTGTTAATGTTTAAAACATGTGTGCTGCTTCTTATTTTTGTGGAAACTGTGATACATTTTTTTTTTCAAGATTTTTCCAAAAAACAGCATATATTTGAAATAGAAATATTTTGTAACGTTATAAATGTCTATACTATTACTTTTGATCAGTTGCATCCTTGCTGAATTAAAGTATTAATTTATTTGTAAAGAGACTTTAGTTCTTTCTTTTAATTATGAAACTTTGTTTCTTCTTGATTTTTTTTATGGAGGAATAAAAATAAGCACACATCAATCATTCGCTATAAAATGAATGTGAATATCAGCTCAGATAATTTAATCATGGAGAAAATTGATCGAAGTCTTCATTTGTTCGCCATATAATCATATTGCTGTCTAGGAGAAACAGTTGAGATCTTTTTTGTCAGGAGTATTTTCACTGTACTGCATATGAGAGTGCACATACTGTAGTTTAACAGCGAGGGTTCAGTTTGGGTTTTCAGCGGCTTTGTTTTTTTTCAATCAGGCATTGTCACTAAGCTACACCCGTTACATTACATAAGTCTGTAGGAAACACATGCGCGCAGGCTGCAGAGTACAGGCGCGCTGTAATGCCATTCCAGTTAGATAATCGTGCAAATGTAAGAGAGGGACAGAGAACTGAGGATGAGAGAAGAAATGCACATGTTGACTGATCTGTTATAAAAGAGCCCTTTGTTTATCTGTTTTATTAGAGGTGTTTCAGGATCACCCTAGCAAATAGTTGTCATGCGTTCCTCTAGAGCAGATGCATGGCATTACTGTTGCAGATTTTAAGTATGTTTTTAAACTGTATGTGTGTTTGCATGCTAGCGAGGGATGGAGAGAATTAGACTGAGAGTGTTTTGCACACTAATGCATTAATGCGTTTGTGTAACTTAATCTGTGTGTGTGTGTTATGCAAACCCGTTACAGTCTCTCTGTCAATTGCAAAAGTCATTGCCACAATGCTAATTCTGCTCTGAGTGGTTTCCAAGGCACTACAATGTGGCTGCTAAGATGTTCTTAGCATTTTTTTTAGCATGTTAGGTGTTGCTATGCAGTTGCTAGAGTGTTCTGGATGGTTGCAAGGTCTTTGCATTCAAGGTATACAACCTTATTAACCAATAAACGCAATAAAGTACAAGCAATGTAAGTACCTTTGGATAAATGGTTAAATGTAATGCATTACACATGATGAGGAATCGTTACGTCTGGAGTGTGAGTCATGCACTAAACTTCAATGCTTAGTCTGAGGAGAATGTCACTAAATATGAGGAATAGTAATAGTGATGTTTGACTTAGCATGAGTAGAAATGTCCATTTTTTCCTATTGCTTGTGTGATTGATGTTAGTGTGGCAGCTAGTGGTCATGACTTCGCTGGAGGATGTCTGAACATGAATGGGAAAATTGTGAACCATAAATTGTAACCATATTGCCGACTCCCTCAACCCACATAAAAAATGACATCATCACCTCATCTCATCTCCTCCTCTGCTTTGGAGTCGAATCTAGGCTCTCTCGCCCTGTTACTGTGTTGGTGAAAAAGTTTCAAACTCCCTCCTCTCCTGTGCCCATGTCACACTTTCCATCTGTCTGGCCATAAATGATTCAAAGCTAACGCAGCCATCAGCAGCAGCTATTTAAGTTCGGTGTATGACTCAAGATAGACTGTGCATAAGCAGGGCTAAGTTTACCTACTTAACTCTTGATTTAAGTTAGAGATCATGTGCGGTCAGCCAATGATTATAGCAAAATAATTGGATGTGTTCTTATTCCTGGTAGCTAACTAAGCATACTGACTTTAACTAACTTGCTTAGTACGATTCTCTTTAAACTGTTGCTCCACCATGACAGTAGCTGATCTGAAGTAGAAATGAGAATAGAAGACAGTTTATGCTAAACGTCTGCTATAGCACCTCTTGTGGCAACACTGAGAATGCAACTCATGTAGTTCGTCCTTGTGCATTTGGCCTGATTTCACCCTACACAGATTCAACAACCTGAAAATATGTTCAACTTAATTTTTTCAATTTTTTGCTGTCCAACCATATTATTACCAAACTTCACATCCTGTTCACATCTTTTTAATTTCTAAGTGCTTGGCAACTATTTTGGTTTGTTCTACTTCACATATGTTGCATTCAATTTAATTCAAAGTCATAATTTTAAATGTTAAATTTGGAAAGTGCAAAAAAAAATCAGCACTTGAAGTTGAACATTCAGATTTGAAACTGTGGAAATCTCAAACTTTGCAGAATCTCAAACTAGTATTGCATAAATATTGTTTATTGTTTATTATTGTTAATATCCAGAGTTGTCTTTATTAACAACTGAACACCTGCAAAGCCAATGCAGTTTGCAAACTATTGGCAGTTTTGTTTTCTGAGATATAAAGAAGGAATCCCAAATCTGACAGCAGCAGTGTTTTATTCAAATAGTAAGATCTGCCATAAGGACCATGACTTGTAATTCACATAATAACAGTTTTAAGCTTGATACGGTATTCATAATTGATGGTGTGTTCAAATCAGATGCTGATTGTTTGTTTTTTTTTATTCAAAATGAATAATTTATTTTCAAAAGCTTGCTCCTGTTTTTCATGAAGGTTACCAGGCTTGGTAACAGAAATCAAGATGTTGTTCATTAGTCGCTGACTCTCACATTTTGTTAATCTGCTCTGTCCTCTTTACACCTTCTAACTTCTCTCTTTTTGTCTTTCAGACTGCTCTGCGGAGGCGAAGCAGTAGAGAAACCTTCAAAGATAAGAAGTCTTTAACTCAGGTGTGTACAAAGAAACACAAAGATCAATTCACAAGCCTTATATACTGTTAAAAATAAAGGTTCTTTATTGACATCTGTGGTTCCATGAAGAAACTTTATCTTCAATGGAATCTTTACATTGCACAAACCAACTTTATAGTTGAAAAAGGGTCTTTAGATTATTAAGTTCTTCACATAAAATTGTTCTTTTAATAACTGTTCACTGAAAGGTTCTTTGGGGAATCCAAAATAGTTCTTCTCTGTCATGGCTTCAAACCCCCCCTTTGGAAACATTTATTTTTAAGAGTGCACAGAACATCACAATATGCTAAATGCACTACTTGTTGAGTATATAGACTACAGAACCTCTAGACTTCTTAAATGTTGTCCAGGCCGATTAATCTGTCACTGTTTGCTATTTCGAAATGAATGGTATTGCCTTTTACGTTCACTTATTTCTTTCTTTCCAGGAGGACAGTGCAGATCTGCGCTGTCAGCTACAGTTTGCCAAGGAGGAATCTGCTCTTATGCGTAAAAAGATGGCAAAACTTGGCCGTGAGAAGGATGAACTGGAACAAGAATCGCAGAAGTATAAATCAGTATATGGAGACATGGACAGTCCTTTGCCCCTGGCAGAGGTGACAGGTGGAGGCCCCCACACCTCCCGGGAAGCCGAATTAAGGTTACGGCTCAAACTGGTGGAAGAGGAAGCCAACATTCTGGGAAGGAAGATCGTAGAGCTGGAGGTGGAAAACCGTGGCCTCAGGGCGGAAAACGAAGACCTACGCTGCCAGTACGAGAGGGACTGCTTTGGGCGTGAACCCTTCTCAAGCGTCCCTACCTCACCGTTTGGTGGTGATGCCCTGGAATCTGCAAATGAACTGCGGCGACACTTGCAGTTCGTGGAAGAGGAGGCAGAGCTGCTGCGGCGCTCCATCTCTGAGATTGAGGACCACAACAAGCAGCTGACGTCTGAGCTCAACCGCTTCAAATTTGGACCCAGCCAAGCCGACCGGGAGTCCGAGGGAGCTGAGGGTGGAAATGGTGGCACTCTCAAACCTGGTAATGGTTTCTCGGGAGCAGGGAGTGGTGCCACACTGCAGGAGGAGCTGAAAGCCTCAAGACTCCAGATCAATGAGCTAAGTGGGAAGGTGATGAAGCTGCAGTACGAGAACCGGGTGCTAATATCAAATATGCAGCGCTGTGACTTGGCGGCACACTTGGGAATACGCACCAGTAGCCCACGGGATAGTGATGTGGATAGCGATGCCGGGCGAAGGGAACCAGATGAGGACGAGACGGCCAGGCTTCTGCTGCTCCACCCCAAACGTGAGGGTCCTGTTGGCGGGGAGAGTGACTCCGATGACTTGTTTGAGAAAACGGCGACTTCTGGATTCGCCAGTGGCGAGAAACCTTCAGATCCTGGCGAACTGGGAGTGGCCGAGTTTGCCCAGCGGAGACGGGAAGACCGGGAGACGCTCCACAACGTCAGGCGTGAAGCTGAGATGCTTGTTAAAACAGTGGAGCGGGTCATCACAGATACGGACAGTCTGATTCACGAAGGTCATCTGGTTGTCCTGGGAGGGGACCTTCTTGCGGAAAGTTTGGAGTTCAGAGGTGATGGGGACTCTGCTGAATCTAAACCCGACTCTCAGGTGCTGGATACCATCAACACCCGCATGAGGGCTTTTCGAACGGAACTCCAGCAATTCATGGACAAGGTGGACCACCTAGGGGAGGGTCTAAGGGACCGCGTCGACGACCTTTCCCCCATGCCCAACCTCACCGAATCTAGCAGCTTCCTTTCCTCGGTTACCTCCATGTCAAGGGACTCACCCATCGGGACACTGGGAAGGGATCTGGTGACGGACTTCCAGGTAGGTTATGTGTATCTCGACTCTTCATCTTTATTCAGTTTTTGCCGTCACATGCGATCACATGACATGGCAACTTCCTTTTTTCCTTTGCTGCTTCTTCATTTGAAATTCCTTTTTTGAGAATGCATACACCTTTATATTGATTCTGCATCTTCATGTATCATATATCGAAGGTCCTGAATGCACCATAAAGGAAGCTATTCAACTAATTTGGCTGGCATGACTCTTCATCTCAAACCAGAAACAACACCCAGATAAGAAGGGAAATAGGTAGACTTGCTTGAGATATGGAGCTGTAGGCAGAGTATTTGACTAGCAAACTGGTTATGCAGTTGCCTTGCCCAACAGTGATATTTCTTATCTTTTTTTTTGTTGTAAGTTATATGTGAAAAAAGATCCATGCAAAAGATTAATGGGAGTTCTGTGAGCAGAGTTACGTTCTGATAGACCTGCTCTGAGATTAATGAGATAATAAAACAGCAGGAGAGACTAAAGGATACACAGAGTTGTGAAGATGTTTGGTGCTTTTTAATCCATTTTGACATTAATAACCTTCAGCATAAATGTAGGCAGTTGAACAAGTCTTCCAGACATCACAGAACAACACTCGCTCATCAATATTAACTGACCTCTCAGTTTTCTTTGAGAACACCATATTATTTGTGCTATTTTTGCTGTATGTACATTAATTTTCTGCATGGATGGACTATCCAGATGACCTGCTGTACTACATTTGCCAAAATGTGCACTATACGATAGGGCACACCTCCTGGAATACAATATCCCAGAATGCAATGCACATTTCCCTTACCCACACATAGGCACATACCAGCACGAGCGCTACCAAGCTCAGCCAAGATGCCCCTACCTCTCCTTTCCTAGCAAAACCACCCTCGATGCTGCTCATAAACACCAAACACCTGCATCTGTACCTGCCCCATCCTCTTACCCACAACCCCCTTGTCTCGCACCTGGGGCAGGGGGGTGTTTAGGGGTATTTCCCGCATGGCTTCACAGAGCTATGTGTACTGTTTTGGTTGTCTATGATTTGAAGGGTCCAAAACTAACTGTGCCAGTAGTGGGTAAACTAAGAAATATTTCCCAGCCATAAAAGTGTATTTTACTGAAGCTTATTTCTTACCACAGAATAAAAATATGACAAGATAACTACGACTGTTTATCTCACCAATCTTTTATTCTCTTCTCACAGTAACGAGTTTATATCTGAAAATTCAGACTCTTTTTTTTCAGAATTCTAAATTTGCATCTCGCAATTCTGACTCTTTTTTGGAATTCTAACTTTACGCCTCTCAATTCGGACTCTTTTTTTGGAATTCTGAGTTTGCATCTCGCAATTCTGACTCTTTTTTTGGAATTCTACATTGACATCTCGCAGTTCTGACTCTTTTTGGAATTCTAAGTTTACATCTCACAATTCTGACTCTTTTTTTTTTTTTTTATTTGGAGTTTACATCTCATAATTCTGACTCTCTTTTTTGGAATTCGGAGTTGACATCTTGTAATTCTGCCCTTTTTAAGTTTACATCTCACAATTCAGATTATTATTATTTATTTTTTTTAATTCTGAGTTTTTTTTTTAATTCTGACTCTTTTTATGGAATTCTGAGTTTACATCTCGCAGTTCTGACTCTTTTTTGGAATTCTGAGTTTACATTTCACAGGTCTGACTCTTTTTCTTTTTTTTCCCCCTTTTTTTGGTATTCTGAGTTTACATCTCGCAATTTTGACTTCTCAGAATTGTGAGTTAACATCTCAGAATTGCGAAATTCTGAGTTTCCTCAGAAATATACGAGAAAAGTCAGAATTGTGAGTTAAAAAGTTGCAATTACTTTTATTTATTCCATGGCAGAAATAAGCTTTGATAGTATTTTGTATTTCTTAGTCAATATCAGTTATATTATTTTTATGCATATTTGTCACAAATAGCCCAAATGTTATTCGCAGCATCATATATGACATGAATACAAGCGCACAAACCAGCTGTAAGCGATTGACCAGGGCACATACGTGCATTTAGTTATAAATTGTGTGCCAACTCATTTTGTAATGCATCAATGCATGAAGTCTCTCGGGCATTGCTAGAAGCTAATAACACCCTCTGTGCAAATGCTTGCTGCAGCAATCACATACTTGCTTAAAGTTTGTTTTTGGCCTTAAACTTCACTTTTAACAAAGACAGGAGGACGCATTGTTTTCTAGATCCTTATATTTTCATATTTACATGTTGCACTTCTTAATTAGGTTATAATTAAATTGATCTCGATTTAATTTTTATTTACTGGCACTTGTCAATTTTGGACCCGGCTGATGTGGTATGATGCATACTAACATTAGTTAAAATGGCAGTAAAATGTGTTTGTCATCACCTGGGGTCTGGCCTTGAGCAAATCTAGTAGTTTATTTGCACAGTTAATGCTGATGCAACGTATATGGAAGATGCAGCCATTAATATGAGATATGGCAGACAAGAAGTGCTTATACTGCGTTTTTGTTTTCTGAGTAACCTCTAGAGGCTCTGTGTGACCTGTGAACATACTCTGAATACACTAAATGTTTGTTTCTCTATATATTTTTAAGTGACTCTGATGTGGTTGATCATTCTCAGGAATAATGCAGCTGTGTCTTTTGTCTCAATTAATGATTTTAAAATGTTTTGGTGTCATATATGCTAAATAGTCTCGGAAAGCTGCCCTCCATAGAACTGCTTGTAGCTTATTTCCTGCTTTGTGCTTTGAAACTGCTTTATGATAACATGAGTCAACTTTCCAACTAATAACCTACATGCAACTACGGGTTTGACATCTATTGATGTTTTAGTAGCTTGTCGTATAAATTGAGCGTCTGCATGTGATTTGATATTTCAAATTTAAGGTCAATAGTGTTTGAATTGCGCTCTGATTGGTTGATTAGCTCATTTGGCTCATGTTCATTGGTGGAAGCCATCGGTTAAACTGGGCGGTTCTTTGCTTTGGGTCACGTCACTTAAATCTAACCACTAAAACACTCTTCATCAAGCATGAAGTCACGGCCTTTTCACCTCATATCTATGAACGGTTAGATGTCCCCCACCGGTTAATGATAACAGACCTGATATACACTCATATAGGATGTTTATTCAAGAGCTTCAGCTCGTTGATATGCTGCTTTTCTTCGCATGGCTGAGCTTTGCTGCCGTCGTGCCGCATCCAAACCCTGTCAAAGTCCTACACACCTTGCAGATGTTTGTTATGCCTCATCCAGAAGCCTTTAGCATTGTTCTATCACTGATCAGGAACCTAGAGTTATAATTAAACAATACATCAGTGGTAATTATATAGTATAATATAATATGTTTTGTATTCATTATCAGCTATAACATTGTATCTTTCTGTTGTGATGCCAAAAATCTGTACTTTTTGACAATTGAACATCATAATGAGATTTAAAGGTTTACTTTTGTACTAGCTTGGCAAGCTTATTAATAAGCTAGCTAAAACCTTCATTTTAACCTATGGTGTGTGTAAGTGTGGTTCTCAAGTGGTTTTGCTTTCAGGACGAGGACTTAACATTCAACATCAAGTGACCAAAACTATGTGCATCTCAAAAAAATTGTGGATCAAACATATTTATTCATTTGTATTTATATTAAAATATATTTATTTTATCAAACCCAATTTTGTTTTAATAAATTGTTTTAATGTAGTTAATTATTAAAATAATACAATTTTAAAACGTCACATAGCTAAATGTTTAAAATTATGTAATTATTTCAATATAATTAATTATTTAACTATGTTTTTGGTTATTTTATATATTTATATTTATAATATTTATAAATATAGTAATTAAAATAATCATTTAGAAATTAATTTTAATTACATGTATTATTTTAATTATTAGCTTAAAAATGTGCTTATTAATAATTAGCTTATTAGCTTATTAAATAGTAATATCAGTATTATTTTAAGTATTTAACTGTATAATGTATTTTTTATTTTTATTTTCAATTATCTTTAATACTATTGATAAAGCTAATAATTGTAATATTTTTTTAGAACTGTATTATTGTAAATTCATGTATTATTTTAATTATTATCTAAATTAATATTAATATTGCAATTAATATTAGAATTAATCTAATAATAATAATTAATATAATATTTAGAAATGTATTATTTTAATTACGTGTACTATTTTAATTATTAGCTTAATATTAATATAAGGTACTAATTAAAATAATTGTAATTAAAATGATAAAATAATATGCAGTTAAATCAGTAAAATAATGTAATTTTCATTGTCATTATTTCATTAAGAATTATTATATTAATATTTAATTATATTAATATTAATTCAGCTATACATTACAATTGTATTCGTAAAACACCCCCAAAAAGTTCTTTAAGCCGGTGGACTGGTTTAAGCATTAGGGTTTTGACCTGGTCCTGGATTTGGCACGACACCATTAGCGTTTAGTCTCAGCTGTCAGTCACTGCACATTTTGAGTTATTGGTTATAAGACTCATGTATCCCCATCGCATGCGCTTCATAACCAGTGTTTTGCATTCTTTTTTTCCCCTTGGCCCTTCCCTTCTTCTCTCTTCGTCCCTCATTTCGTTCCCAGATTCAGCCCATGATTCTGTTCCTCCTCATTCTCGTTCTCTTCTCGTCTATCTCCTACGCCATCATCTTTAAGTTGGTCTTTCTTTTTGCGCTTTTCTTTGTCTTGTAGCCCGCTGGCTCTCTCTTTCTTTCTGTTTTCCATTCGATCATTGTTTTGTAATTCATAATCATTTTTTGAATACAATGTGTGTCGATGACCCCTCACCTTTGCATTTCACACTCTGAGTTTCGCTTAAACCCACGTTCAGTTTTATTTTTCCCCCTCCACTCTTTTTTCTGTATTCTGTTTGTCGTTCACAATCCCCATGCACCTCCCTCTGTCTCCACCTCCCCGACCCTTTCCTCCCCTCCTCACTCACAGTACGGGCGCAGGGAGGAGCAGGAGTGGTGCCTAGACCGCCAGAGTGTCCCGGAGGCCCCTGGACAGGGACAGGGCGCCGCTAAGGGCTCCGTCACAGCCAGGGGAGGCCCTGGACTCAGTAGATACACCAGGCCCCACAGTTTCAGACCCGAGGTCAGTGCCTCGTCCATCTCCCTCTCAACTTTAAGACAGATATGTTTCCAAGTGTCTTTGCAGTGCCTCTGACTTCCTGAAACACCTGACAGTTTAATGTGGTGCACAGTAAGATAGTAAGATGGTCAAAACTGAACGGATTTTCCCGTGCACTACCAAAACTGCGTGTTTCTGTAAAGCCTTGGTTATCTTGGGACATCGTCACATGTTTGATGGAAATACGAAAGTAGCTGGAACAGTACTAGGGGTGAGTTATTCTCAAGAACGCACCGTAGTTTCAGAAAAGTGTTGTTTTCCCATTTAAAATGTAACCATATCACATGAAAAGCCACAGCTGTCAAAGATATCCAGAGATAACCAAGGCTGTGATCCTCTTTTTAACATTAAAACAGGACAGTAAGAGATGTTTCGGTGGTGTATGGAAAACTAGAGAGCTGGAGTGCCTTTCCTTGGGAAAATGTACAGTACAGATCAAAACTCGCACACTGGTTTAATGACAAAGCTTTCCGTCCTGAAACAGGAATGACCTCGCTGTGTTCAGACGTACCAGATTTTAAAGGGGTCATGAACTGCCTTTTTTATTATTTTGTACTGTTCTCAGAGCTCCACTTACAATGTTATCAATTTTTTTTACATCAAAAAACATCATAATTCAGAAGTAATAGGCTATTTTCTGTCCTGTTTTGACCCCCTCATCAGAACGCTCTGTGGTGGATTGTCGACTCAGAAGTAAACGTTCACTGCTGTGATTGGCTAACAGTTGTGTATGTTTGACAGCTGCATCCTTCACAGATGATTTAGGTTAAAAATGCATAAATACTCAGTACATATCAAACGATCTGTAATAACAGACAAAGCAATAGTGAGCAGCATGCAATAAGAACAGTTCCTCACACTCGACTCGTGTGGTGCGACATTACTGTCAGATCTGATATATTCAGCACAGCATCGTCTTTTAGTTTCAATCTTTCGGAAAAATCCTGAATCGAATTGTGCCTTGTTTGTAAACGATTCCGCGGTGAAATGAAGCGAACAAAGGACCAAGTTCTTGCTGACGCAGTCTGGAACTTCGTTAAAAATAAACTTCATCCACTCTTTCCTAATGTTGGGATCAGAAGGAAGGCGATGCAGAGACTGTGTTTTTCCACATCTTGGCACTGAACAGCGTCTTGTTGTCTTCTGAGCATCTTTATCGTTTGGTTTCTGCGTAGACCTGCGTTTGTCTCTCTCGTTATTTACACTACAGGCATGAATCGGTGGGCGGAGCTAAACAGATAGTGATGTGATGTCGTTTTGGCAGATTGGCTTCAATATAAGCTGATTTTAGACTAAAGAGAAAGTTTTGAGTTCTGAAACTTACAGGATGATTGTATAGTACAGTGACCTCTTATATGTCAAAAGATCAAGGGAATTTTGATTTCTCAGTTCATGACCCCTTTAAACATCTGAACCACAAAGGTTGTGTCCAAGCCTGAAGTATTTATGAATATGGTTCCAGATTTCAAAATGTAAATTTAAATGGATGTGACACTGCTGGTGTTTGAGCACAAAGGTAACGGTGTGTGAATACTGAGTCTCTGTCAAACAGATCTCCCTCCAGAACTACTATGTCTCTAGATCTGTTTCAAAACCTAGTGTGTGCTTTTAGGCATCATAGAGCACTTTATAATTGTGAAAGCTGGCCTAAACAATGATTAATGATTTAAGATGCCTCTTGGATATTTTATGGCAAATGCAATCCCACAATGCATTAAATATATAATTATTAAATTAAATATATTTTTATATTAAATAATTGCATTAAATATTTTCCAAAAATTATTGATTCAATTATTTAAGTCAAATTAAAATGGCCTGTTGTACCCAATATGTGTATGATATTTTTAGAATTTTTTTTTTGTATTTTGTCATTAACTTGAGTGTTTCAAATCCCTTATAAAATATGACATTTATGATGCTGCCTATGAAGACAGAAAGGCTGCTCACTAGGTTTTAAAACAGAGCCTGTGTTTAGAAGGAAAGCCTACGACACACTTTAGTATGAAGAGCAGTTCTCCCGAGCTTGTATGTATTTCTTTATTTAAATTAATAAAATGCAATAACTCTCTAATGTAGTAAAACCGAATGGAAGCGAGCCAAATGTCATAAAATAGCACTTCCAGTTATTTTACACCAGGTTATTAGACCAAAAACAGCAAGAGCATTGATTCGTCTGCTGCAACACAAGATCTAGCCGAGAGCAGTTTGTTCACTCGAATCATTTAACTCACATCATTGTCTCACAGTGATTTTTTTGGTTTCTTCTCACTCCGCTCACAATCACTGCTGTTAATTTAAAATCGCACTGGTTTGTCATGAATTACGATCACTCACCATCCTCTCACACAGGAGCTTTGGAAAATGTGATGTTTCTGTTTAAAATAAGGGCTGTATGTGTGTTAATCATGTCATCTGTATGTATATATTTATGTTTGCATTTAATTTGTTGTACGTCTATGTGTTTGTCCCAGTTTATGTGCTATTGCCGTACAGGCTAACCAAATCAGCTAAAAGACAGGTAGTCAAGCGTATTTAGCATCTTGCAATATGCAACAATGCACACTTACTTTACCTGCATCATGCTTCCTTCAAGTCCTGCTGGGTAGGTCCCTACTTTTCAGTCATTTTACAGTGATTTTGACTGGAACAAATGGACACTGGTCATTTCAAATATTTTCTCACTTTTATCATCTAGATCAAATCAGTTTTAGCACAGCACAACCATAACAAAATAAAAAGTGAAGGATGTGCATTAGTTGTGCAACTGAAGCTGTGTATATCTTAGCTTGTAGCTGCAGAGGATGATGGGAAATGTAGTTTTGTAGTACAAGCCTGTCAACTCATAAACCACTTGTCAATCACAAAGTTTTATACTTGTTACCAGCCTAGGGGCCACAGGTATACATTAGTAATGTTCCTGTTATCTTGCATGTTTATATTTAGTATTCTTTATACTAATGTGAATTACAAACAAATAAATTCAATAAATAAATAATATATTTTTTAATAAAATTATTTTAAAATAATCATAAAATAATGATTAAATGTTTAAATCTAGTCTGCAGAATTGGACCGATTTCCCTCCAAAATCAGCACAGAAAATAATTTTAAAAAGAAAAAAGGAAAGGTCCATTTGGGCCTAATAATAACCAATATCAATTAAAAAATCCCTCAAAATTCAGGACTCAAAAACAAAAGCATTTGTAATTATGACCTGATGCTACTTCGCATGCGCCCAATCATTAATGAAATGACTTGAAGGCAGCATATGCTTATTTTACAGCTTGAGATATTCATGCATATGAATCTTTATGATATTTGATAGTACCGTATTGTCCCGAATATAAGACGATATTTTTTTCTTGGAAATACATCTGAAAAAACGCGGTCGTCTTATATTCGGGCCAATACAGTATATGATATATGAGACTATGATATATGAGTTGATATATGATATATGAGTTTTTGTTAATATTTAGATTTAGATAATAATTAGATTTTATATTTATATTTTCTGTTTTTAATTTAAATTTTAGTAAAAAAAAAAAAAAAGTAATTTAGTTGTCTGTTTTTGTCTCTTTTTTTAGTATGTCTATATAGTATTTGTTTATTAGTTTTAAATATTTTAGTACTTCAGCTTAAACTAAACAAAAATGATAAATGTTGTCTTGGAAACTAGTTGAAATGAAATCATTTTATTTTATTTCAGATAACGAAAATATTATTTATGGTTTTAGTTTTAGTGTTAGTTAACAATAATAACTCTGATTCAACCTTACAACAAGATAATTGTTAGCACTTACAAACAACAGCACATAAAGCATACACTCTAAAAAATGCTGGGTTAAATATAACCCAGCGCTGGGTTAAAAAGGGACAAACCCAGCTATTGGGTTGTTTTGACCCAGCTATTGGGTTGTTTTGACCCAGCGGTTGGGTTGTTTTGACCCAGCGGTTCAAAACAACCCAACCACTGGGTCAAAACAACCCAATTGCTGGGTTTGTCCCTTTTTAACCCAGCATTTTATAGAGTGTAATATTGTGCAAGGCACTGCATTAAAAATAAGTCTTTATTAATCGATAATCTGATAATTTGTGTGAAAAGGAATAAAAGTTGTTGGTGTTTTACTGCCACTAGTGACACTACTGTGAATTTCATGTATAGGTCTTTTTCAGGAGTTGTCCAAAAATGTAGATAGAGCCACTTTTTTCCTAATGAGCCGATGTTGTGTATAAACCAGTGTGGAAATGCTGGTCTGTTACTGAGGTTCTCTGAGCTTTCCAGAATCTGATTAACTATTGCTTCATACTGGATCAATATTCATGCAGCGTGCAGGGGGTCCTACAGTCTAGAATTCCTCACAGGGAGGGAATATTTGTACGAGATACAGG